AGCACTTATGCAGGGAGAGCTCTGGGCTAAGGATGCTAAGAAAGAGCAGAAGTCTGGAAGCAGGCACAGGCAGTGAGGGGCAGGACTGAGACACTGGAGCACAGGTGGAGGGGGCCCATCTTGCCCAAACAAGGGGTTTACAGAGAAGTACCACTTCCCTCATCCCATGCCTCATCTGTGGCCAAGAGCAAAGGGAAGATGCAGAAGCAGTTCTGCTGATAGCCACACAGCCTAATGGGGTTTGCCTCTGTTTAAACTGAAGCAGCTTACAGTGTACTGTAGCACTGTCTGGAAACATTCACAGACCTAAAACAGGACTCTGCTCCCTAGCATGTTGAGTGTCTGCTTTTCTCAGCCTCCCTACTGCACTGTTCTACTTATACTTGGAAGAGAGCAGCACTGCAGGCTATCAGCATGGGGCATGCTATGTCAGCATGCCAGCTGACTTTGGACAGCTGGAAGATATTTCTGGAAGCCAGTTTTTGGGAGGCAGAGCTGATGATGCATGTTTATGGCACAGGCTGGGCTCACCAGTGCCTGTGTGAGTTGCTGTGAAATAAGGACAGTTCCTGGCACGACGGGCATTGCTGTGGCAATTCCAGATGCTAGTATAGAGCTTCTGTCAAGAGCAGTGCTAGCTTTCTGCTTGGATGAATAACTGTAACTTTGACAAGGCAATGAGTGAGGCCTTGGACCTTGGAGTGAGACCTAGCAGGCAAGCTGGTATGTGCTGTGGAATTAGAACTGTTCACTTTTTGCTGGTTTCTCAGCCTGCACAGAGCTTACAATAATGTCACAAGCAGTGGCAAGCACCCAGCATTCACTGCAAGAAAAGTGTGATGGAAAAACATTACTGTTATGTAGGATACTGCTCCTCCAGCAGAATGGATACAAAAGGTGGAGCTGAGGAAGAGTTGGGGGAATCTTGTGAAGCTTTTGATCCCTATTCCTTACCTGAGGTTCTCACAGCTATATAGTGCTAAGGAGTAAGTCCTTTTCTTAAAACCTAGCTTAGACTAGGAAAATCTGTATCAGCTAAACTGATTCTAGAGGTTTTCAAAAACAGAAGTCTGTACTTTTTCTTCCCTTTTCTTTGAACCAGAAAAAGGAAAAGAGAGTGAGAAATCAAGAACAGTTCACTATTATCATTGTATACTACATATACAAATTACTCAAATTATTTATGGTTTGTAGATAACACTAAACATGAAAATGACTTCCTACGCTTACTGCTATTTGATCCTGGGCTGATGAAGCTTGAAACCTATATGCAAAACCAAAACAGCAAAATCTTAGCTTATTGCCTTGTCTTCCCCTTAAGGAGACCATTGGTATTTCGCACGGACAATGGGAGATAGTGGGATGGTTTTAAATTGTAGACTTTGTAAAAGTGAATCACATCAAACAAAAACCTGCAGCTAATTAAAAAATATGGTGCTTGGAAAAATGGTTAATATTCCGCTGTATGGATCAACCACATTTCTTATTTGAAAGGAAAAAAAGGATTAGTTTTCACACTTCATAGAACATGTGCATTGTTCTACCATCTAGCATATTCTAGGTCACAAAGTATCATCTAACTTTTAGTATTATTGTTGAAGAAAGACAGGCTTGTTTGAAAGTTCTATACAGTCACTTGAGAGTTTCCACAGCACTTAGTAAACAGTTGTTCTTGTATGTGATTTGTATTCAAGCCGTGGCACAGTTCTGTTTAAGTTTCTTTTGCTTCACTTTTCTATCACTTGGTCTGCTTAAGCCTGCAGCTGCAGGTCAGGCCATAGAGAACTCTGAGTTAACTCTCTTTTGATAAAAATTGATAGAATTTGTCAGTATCAAATTCAGAAAGTCATCTTTCTTCAGTGAAGCGCTTAAAAATAAGCTTCACTTACATTTTAATTTGAAATCAGTGGAAGTTGAGTACTATCAATTAATAATGTAACTTGAAGAATTTCTTTGTTTGGGACAAATATGTTTTTGTATTGTGAATTTCCTAGGCCCTGAGAATGTTTTTTACAGCCCTTGCTGGATTCCGTAGGAAGAGCTGTGCTATCTGTTTAGCAGTGCAAGCAGCTTATTCCAGAGCCTCATCTTTCCTAATCAACGCACTGTTTGTGTGTTGCAAATAACTGGATCATCACTGATGCTAATGCATTGCTGACTTCTCCAAAGTGTAACTTCTTGTCCGCTGCCCCTATCAGAACTCTTTCTGATCTCACTTTCGCAGAGAACGTGCTCATCTCAGCTTTATCCAGCCACACATGCTCCTTTATCCATCCAGCAGAGCAAGAATGCAGCAGTTCTCTGTTAGGTGATTGGAGTGCTCTGTGAAGTCCAGATTGCTTGTATACAACAGATGTAAAATTTGGCTACCCTTATAAGAATTAGATCACTTCTCTCCATGTTATCCTGCATCTTGTATTAGGCAGTTATGTTTTCCTCATCTGGCTAACTTCCCACACTGTACGGGTTCTCAGTCTGCAGTCAGTGTTGTACTATGTGCACAGCTCAAGCTGTATTTTTGCAAGCCATGTTTGTATTTTTCCATCAGCATGTTCTCTTTGTGCAGTAATTTTTCCAGAGCTGCTGTAAGTCAGACCACAGGTGTATCCTGTGCTCAGATGCCTGTTTCAGTCACTCCTTCGAGAACCCTGTCACTCCCTCTGAATTGTAGGCAGCAAGCCACATTTACAATTACAGTTCCTTTCCCAAAATTGTGTGTGCCCACACCTAGCTATCAGTTTCATCACCATTAGAACTCATTTTTGATAGCTAGACTTCCTGTTTTTCAAGTTCAAAAGAGCACTGCTAGACCTGATGAGTCTGATGAGAGCAGAGTAGAAAGGCAGAATCACTTCCCTTGACCTGCTGGTCACACTTCTTTTGATGCAGCCCAGGATATGGTTGGCCTTCTGGGCTGAAAGCATGCATTGTTGGCTCATGTTGAGTCTTTCATCAGTCAACACTCCCAGATCAGGGCTGCTCTTGAGCAATTCTCTGTCCAGTCTGTACTTGGCTCTTGGGATCGTCCCATCCCAGATGCAGAACCTTGACTTGGCCTTGTTGAACTTCATTAGATTGGCATGGGCCCACCTCTCAATACCATCCAGGTTCCTCTGCATGGCATCCTTTTCCTCTAGCCTGACAGGCAGCTTGATATTGCCACTCAAATTTGTGTCATCTGCAAACTTATTTATCATGAAATTTTATCCTGAAAATGCAGCTTGATTACAAGAATCTCAATACCATACATTATGATCACAATTAACGTTAGCTACGAAGGTGATGCCTTTTTTCAAGTGCAAGAGAGAAATTAATTGCTACACAACTGAACTATAAGTGGAAGGTTAAAAATACAATTATATGTGCAGGAAGAGGATTAAATGACCAAAGAACTGGATGAAATGAAGTTGTATGATTTATTTATCAAGTTCTCAAATTTAATCAGCAGTGACATGATTGTGGTATGTGTCTTTGCACAACTATTGGGGCAAAGTTTGTTGCACACACCAACAGCTGGCAAATAAAACCAGAGAAAATGCAAACCAAAAATAAAGATGCCTTCCTTTTCAAGGAATGTTGGTTGGCAGCAGAAACAAACTAGTAGGGGAGTTGGAGCATCTTCGCTCTTCTGTATGAAAGACATACAAGATGAACAATTAATTGATCTTAGGACAGGAATAAGTGAATAAAAAAATTCAGTGGGCTATAGGAAAAGAAAAGGAAGTTATTCATTGGGAGGAAAAAAACAAGTGCCCATATCACAGAAGACAACTGGAAGACTGTGATCCCAGAGGTTAGTTAAGAAATCTTTAGGAAATAGTGGGACTATTTTGGATGGCTTAATGAAGTTGGTGTGTAACAGTAGAAATTCTGTCCTTTTCCCAGCTTCTCAGATGACACTCTCCAACTATTTTCTTATTCCACCCTGAGCTGTGACCTTCCTCTGTGAATCTCTCGAAAGAGAAATACATGATATAAGCATTTAGATGTAACATTGCTGCAAAATATATATCCTTGTTATAAAGACAGTTGAGAGGTTTGTTTTTTTTGGTTTTGTTTTTTTTTTTTTACATCAGTAGTCATCAGTGTGAAATGTTTGACTGTCATTTCTTGTTTTAAAATCTATGACTGCAACTAAGATATTCCAGAGGATGAATACTCAAAGAAAAAGCCAAAGCCCTGCAGCAAATAAATTACTGGAATAAAAAAAGATATTGCTAAATTTCTTCCTTCAAAATTACACCATGTATTGGAGGTTATGAGTATTAAACACAACAGAAAAGTTTTCTCTTTTGTTGTTTCTCCTTGAAAACTAAATATATCATTATTGTGATTTACTCTGGTGTTCTAAAGAAAAAAAAGTCTGTTAAGAAAAATAGGGTCCAACAGGCTTTGAAAGGAAGTGTCACCTGCCTCAATAGGTAATTTCTAGAATGTCTGGGAATTTTACTATCCTAAGTAAATATTACAGAATGTGGATAAAAAGTGAACTTGTTTTGAAAGTCCTGTTTTGGACATCAGATAGGAGAAGAAAGCTCACCCAGGACGCTTTCTGGGTCTGCTGTGTTAAGTGGGATGTACCTGGAAAAGCATTGGTGAGCCTAGAGCAGACTTCTCCATTTGAGCTAGTCATGCTAGCCTGCCATTAAAGTCACTAGGGAGGAACAGTCACTTGCAGGACGTGAGTCATTTCATCATGAAACAGCTTCTATACTGCTAGTGGCTAAGGCTGGTGAGGCACAGGCCATCCAGTAAGACTGCAGGTGTATTACTAAATTCCCCCACACCACATTTTCCCTCAGAGTAAAATATGACTAGTGCTTGCCACCTTCTCCACCACGTTTTCTGAACCTGCATCTGTACCTGCTAGAAGAAATTTTGTTGGATGTGTATCTGAGCAGCAGTAGGGAAGTGACCGTGCGTTCCAGTTGAGTCTTTCATGAAAAAAAAGATTAGAATGTCCTCACTAAATAGAATGTAGATAAAACAAAGAAACCATATATTGGAGGTGCCCTTTACTTCCACAAAAAATCAACTGCACCCATTAAAACTAGCAGGAATGAGACATAAAAAAGGCTATGTTGTGTCAAGATACGTGGCACATCCCAGCAAAATATCATACTGTTGCTTTTTATTGCTAAAAATAACAGCTTTCAAACCAAAATATTTTGCTTTAGTAGCAATTACAATATGCACCCTTTTTACAGAGATTTTTATTTTTTAAAAAGAAGGTAATCTCACAACCATTATATTTTACCAGAGAGGTATATAATGGGAGTTGAAATCACCAACATCATGCCTGCAAGTTGTTATAAATATCATGAATAAGTTGTTCAACAGTGACGGTTCTAAAAACTTTCAATACGTTAAGATATGTTTCCTCTGCTGAGTCCACCATTCTCTCTGGCAAAGTAAACAGGGTTTTGTGGTTTACAGTATTCTAGAAAATCTTTGTTCAGTCTTCCATTTCTACATGCAGTCCCCATTGTTCCTGAAATTGCAGCAGATACATTCCTTGGTCCTCAGACGGTTCTTCAGATACCTGTTTCTCATACAGTCTGGACAAAATTCCCTCTTTGTTAGGAACATCACACTTAAATACTCCTTTACACACCTCATTTTCAACACTGAACCAAGTAGGAATATACAATCTGCCAGTGTGTGGGTCCCAGTCTACCAGTATGGTCTGTTCACTCTCATTCTCTGTGACACCATGTGCTATTTTTCCCAGCCAATGATAAGATGTCTGCCCAGATTTTTCATCATCTGAGTCCACCAAGTTGATGCAGGTCTTACCTAGCAATTCATCCACTGCATCAGCCATCTTCAGTTTAAGTTCCTCTAATTCCTGTCCCAAAGAAGGGTCTGCTGCCCTCACCTCCAGTTGGGGGCAATATGCCGTTCCTGTATTAAAATTAACTAAGTTTCCCAAAGCAGTCTGTGGCTCACCTAGTTCCCCGGGTGCAGAAGTCTTCTCTTTCAGACTGAGTTCTTCTAGGTTTTGGCCAGGACCGAAGTCTTCAGCCCTTACGCTGAGTTCATACTCTACAGTCCCTCCATTTTTTTGTCTCAAAGTATTCTTTGTTCCAGGCTGGTCATTCTTTGTTCCAGTTTTGTCCCCCTCAGCTAAAATGTCCTCTTCTTGTGAAATCTCTTCATGAGAAATATCCAGCAAGTATTTTATTTCCAGCACTTCTTTTGGAGACAAATCTCTCCCTTCAGTGCCACTGTAAACAGTATAATAACGGGGGCTTTTCATTTCTGATGGATGAATGGATTCCTGAGACGGTCTGTGCTCATCCACATTAACTGTGATAAGGTTGACCACTATTTTTTCACAAGGTATAAAAACCTTTTCCTTGCATTTATCAGTATAGTGCCATACCTGGAAAGCAAAAAGTATTTTGATTTAAGTATAATAAAAATACCATATTGCTTCCTCTTACACTACTGTCTGTTTTTAAAAGATGAGGCTTTCTTAGACCATATTAGGAGTGAATAATTCAGTTTAGGGAAAAAGGAAGTTCATCATGTATACCTGTAAGATTGTTAAAATGCTCTGCTTTTGTCCTTCTGTCAGAAGTAAAAGTATGTTATGATCAGCTCTAATTTCCTTTTTCTCATCTTCTCCATGCCAAAATAATGGTTAGAACAATTCTGTCAAAATTCTGGTTTTGTTTCCACCAGCACAAAATCAAGTGACTGAGAAAACATCGGAACTGCACGTGGGTCACAGACTACAGAAATCTATTCCACTCTCTTTAACCAGCAAAGAGGAAGTGCAGTCAAAACCACATCCCACACAGTTGGTTACCATGCTAAGGTGCGACTTACAGAGGATTAAATAATACCAAGTTTCCTCTCAGAGAGGGAAAATACAGCAGTGTACAGAACCTGCACTCTGCGTTTGCTCACAGGCTGGATTTATGACTGCAATAAATGATCTAGTTAAATAAACAACAGTATACAATCTTTTTGAAATGACTAGTATTTCTAGCATAGATAGCAGATAGAAGCACTGTATAGCAGACATTAAAAGAAAATGCAATAGAATAACAGCCATGAAAAGCTGCACTTCAACATTTCAAACCTGAATGGAGGACTAAAACCACTAATCTACATAGTCTGAAAGATTCCCCGGGTCAGAAGTGCCAGACCAAACCAAATTGCTTATTCTGCCTCCCTGTGACCACAAGGGATGGCTGTGTGGAATAGTCTGCAGATTGGGAGAAGCAAAATCCATCGCTAAAACAGCAGTTCCATATTCATTCATTATCTTTACATGAGCTGAATTAAGAGGTGCAGAAGTAAAACTCAAGCTTTCAAGCTGAACATAAAGTTCACTGGATGCAAAAAAATCCCAACAAAACTTCCCAAAGACCCACAAAAACAACACAATGCTACAAGAGAAAAGACTCCTGGAGTTGGAGTTTAGTCTACTTTTGAGTGGGAATTTCTCTTTAAGTAGTCCTCTGGCTGTGCACCTTTGTCCTTCTAGCTTTCCAAACTGTGGCAAACTGCTACCTCCCCCTACCATGTCCTGTACCCCAGGACAAAGCTGGCACCTTGTCAGTTGCAGGTGTTTTGGCATATGCCTGACTACACTGCAGCAGCAGCTGCTCTGCTACTTCCTTCTGACCCCTTCAAGAAGCAGTCAGTCCGTCTGAAAACACTTCTATCATCTCTGCTGCTCTGGATTTCTTTAGAAAGATCAAAGTGTTAAAACTACCTCCCTTATACCTCCCACCACACCGTGTCGTGCAGACTGGATTAACATCAGAGCTCATCAACTGCACTTTTGTGATTGAGCAACTTGTTTACAGATAGATAGCTGTAAGAAAATTTCATTGGGCTTATTGGATGGAAACAGATAACGTTTCGTAAACTTCATGTGTTCCTTCCAAAATTTAACCAACTTTAAAGAGTGGTTCTAAGAAATCTGCAAACACTTTTACATAGAAAGTGTCTCTGGGGAGTAAAAATAATAGAATTTGCTTGTTGGTAATTTACTGGATGCAAAAAAGCAGAATCCAGTATATGAACGAACTCTTGAAATTCAGATTAAATAACCTTTCTGTGCTAAAACCTTCCCAAATACATGGGAAAATGTGGTAGCACCTAGTAATGATCCAAGAAAATATCAAGGCGATTCTGCACTGCTGAATTACTTCCTCTTCTAGTTTCTGATTTCAACTTTTTGTTCACTAACTCTCTTCTGTGCTTCTTTCTGAATGCATTTCAGGAGTGCTGACTTCCTACAGAATCTGCCTCAGTTCATCTCAGACCTTGCCTGTGGCACTGAACCTTCCCAAGCAAACAGATCTATTCCAATCTTTGTTACCCTTGGTCATCTTCTCATATCTAGTCACAGTTGCTAACTGGAGTTATTCCTCTGTTTTATAATTGACCAGAGTGGCAACTAGAGATTTCATTTGCAGTTAGCCTTGGTTTCCTCCTGGAAAATGCACAACTCTGCTGTGAGATCCAAAGCTGGCAGCATCATCCGGCAACAAAGAATACATACCAGGCTTGTTGGATGCTTCTGTTTGCTGACATGAATGTACCTGTGCACACAGCAGCATGCCACTGAAGTGAAAAGGACAGCTAGCACGATAGGCAGAATGTATCCAAATACAACTGTTATAGTCTCATCTGTTGTTTTATCTGTTAACAAAGCAAAAGTTTTTGTTGTACTGCTTAACTTCATAATGTATTCAGACAGTAACACTCACATTTACCATATTGCTCTTTGGGACATGGGATGCGAATATTTTAAATAAAACAGGAATTTACAGGAAATCGGGGAAAAAAAAGAGCTACAGAACAATCTTTTATTATTTTATTCTAAATAATAAATTAAACTATAAAAAAGTAAAAAAAAACCTGTAAAAATAAGTAACAATCCCTCCCTCTTGCTCTCCTGTTGCTGGTTTCTACCCCCTCAGATTGTCCCAGCTCTGTCACTCCCAAGCATCATTCAAGGAGAAAAAAAAAAGATCTCATTCATTGAGACTCAAGCAATGCACAGCCTTTTTTTCAAAGGTACTGCCTTATCTTTCAGTCAGCAGGACCCAACTATGTTTTAAAGTCAAAAATAAGTTCAATAGTGTGAATCTACAGAGAGAGAATAGACAGAAAAAATTACAAACTCATTCACCATTTTCTCTAACTCTGTAATTTGCCAGCTTACACGTACCTTTCAAAGTAGAAATGCAGTGTTCTTTGGAAAACCCACTGTGTAGAAGAGGTGTAGTGACATGGATCTGCGCACTGACACAGTAAGCTGTTCCAGGTTCTAACCAGGGCACAACCAAGGTGCTGTTGCTGATGGAGAAGAACCACTAGAAGATACATACAAAAAAAGTCTGTCTTTCCTCTTTAACTCCTCACATAAAGGTAAAAATGTTATAGATAAAATTTGTCACGAGAACACATTTCACGAAATAAATAATAATGCTCCAATAACTGCCAGCTGTATCCTTTTTTTTTCCTAATGCAATCAAAACTCAACGTCTTCACTATGTCACATTATCTCTGAATATTTTATCTCCCATTCAATCACCCTTCTACTACTACTGCACAACGTCATAGTTTATGTGAAGTAGGATCACGTATCATCACCAGCCCACGTTCTCATGCTGATGTTGCAGTAGAGATAAAATACCACACTAGCCCCTTCCTGATGTGTAGGCAAATGAAAGGCACGTGATACAGGTTCTGAAAATCTTTCAAATTTGGATGTTCTGGTAAAGTTAGGAGCCATAAAATAAGTTTTTATGTAGGTCTTGGAATTCAAAGTAACTGCTCTTTGTCAAGCTAATGCTAATCTCAGCATTTTAATATACCTTTGACAGAAGGGGACTGTTTTGGTGTAAGACCCTTTCTCCTCTTTTCTGGAAATTCAGACATTTGCTAGATAGGTGTTGTGTCTGGAGGACAGGAGGAGAAGAATGGATATTTTTGTGAATAATCACTAACTGCCTCCTTATCTTCTCTGTTTTTGGTGAAAATTACTCCCTTATGGAATTTAAATCTGGAGAGAGAGATGAATGAAGACTTTCAGATGTGGTGGCAAAGGATGCACTTTGTTGTGATGTGTGGTGAGCCTGACTGGCTGGGAACTCTGCTGAAGAGGGCTGGGATAGGCAGAAAGCTGAACATGAGCAATCAATGCGCCCTTGCAGCAAAGCAGGTCAACAGCATCCTGGGCTGTGTCAAAAGGAGAAGATTCTGTAGGTGCTGGGAAGGGATTATGCCCCTCCACTCAGTGCTCATCAGACCACATCTAGAGTAGTGCATCCAGTTTTGGTCTGCCTGACACAGAAAGATGGACAATGATCCTACGGTTCCTGTCATGTTATGAGCCTTATTTCAGTTCTTGGTGTTACAGTGCACAGTGCACAGACTTAATAGGTAAAGTTCTGTAGCATTATCAGAGCTTACTCGTTTCTTTGTCTTTTTCTTGAGGACAGACACGTTGTATTGCAGGCCAGGATATACTTGAAGCAGAGATATAGATTCTCCATCAGGACTTCTCCACTTCTCAGGAACAGTCAGTGTGATTGAAATAGATTTCTCGGTAGAAGACACATTTACCATAGGTGGGCCAATTTTAGCTGGAAAAATAAAAACTTATAAGAAATAGTTACACGAATCAGAAGATTTGACTGTGCAACTTCTTAAAGGGAATCATATTAAATTTTTGTAATATTTTGGGTAGTCTAAATAGAACCTTGAACAATTTATTTATACTGATATAAAAATATCTTCCACATAAGTAACTGAAACTTCACAGTATGAAGCTAAACACTGACTTGGAATTTTGCCTAGGAAGTTCTGTGACTTTGCAGAATGTACAACATCGAAACTCAATTTGCTAAAACAAGCTGAATTACCAGTATATTGTCAGATTATCTGGTACAGATAAGAGATATGATGCTTTAGAGTACAATTACTGTTTGGTTTAATAGGGCCTTTTCAAAGTCAGAGTTCTTCATAAAGTATATGTACCATGCCCTTTTTTCCCTTTGAGTAAAGATTTATTACAAAAAATTACAAATTACAATGACTTCAATTACTGCTGCTAGCAGCATAAATCTCAAACAGCAGCAAAAAAATCTAAGCATACATTAAAATATCGCATACTATGAGGATGCAGTCTGAGCACACAGTATAAACTAAGGCCATGAACACCTGGCTTTGTGATTAGCTTTCCTTACTGTCTGTAAGAGGGTTAAATCGTGTTGTCTCTATCCAGTTAGAGCACTTCCCTTTTAGGAAGGCTTTCACACTCGCATAGTATTGCTCTTCATGGTCAGCAGTCTCACTGGAGAGGTCACACCATGTCGTACTGATATTCCTGCATTCTGGCTTCCTAATCCACTTGCCAACACCATATCTGTGTTGAAAGAGAAAGAGAAGGGAGCTGTACAAATGTTCTTGACATTGTATCATTCACCTGATTATATACAAAGAAATGATGATCAAGCTGATAGAACAGTTTGCCTGTTTTGCAGAAATGTGCTATTTCAAGGAATTCCCAACTTCAGCTGAGATAAAAACATGAATTTTCAATGAAAAATAAACCAGTGTAGGTCCTTTTCAAAAACAGCAATAGGTAACTGGGATGTTAGCAATACCACATTCGCTTACATGGAACTCTCAACTTCAGTCTCCACAGCTTTGGCTTAAACTCTAAACACATGAGAACTGAGTCAAGGTAACTATGTAATGACAAAATGTTCTGTAGAATGGCCAGTGGCTCTTTCTGCTGCGTAAAGATGTGTGCTAAGCTGTTGATCACTTTTTTTTTCTTGTTTAATATAAAGACTCCATCTGTAATATGATGCATTTCAAAATCCTTCTTGTTGAAGCAGCAGCATTAACACGCTACAGTAACGCTTCAGTACTGATCTTAAGCACAAGCAGAAGAAATCCAAGTTTCCTTGGAAAATTTATGCCTGGATTTTCTCAGGAGCTCCCACTCCTCAAATTCACATTATGCTAAGAAGAATCCCAATTTAGCTGCTGATTAATAAGGGAATGTGGCAGCATCTACACAACTGCATTTTCAAAGTCTTGCTTTTCTAGCTAACTGGAGATACAGATGAGTATTTTTGTATTCTGTGTGAAAGATGGCCCATAACTACGACTACTCTACTGCTGACCTGTAGTCAGCACAGCTAACACTCTCTGAGTTTTTTTATCTTCTATATGATTATTGTTCATTTCTTTACAGTCAAGAAATCTTGCCTATCTTGCCTTTCCGAGGAATGTGTTACTCCTCTGCTAGCACAGATGGCAAGATCTGGGAAACAAGGTTGCACACTCTAACTGCTACATCAGTACAAGTTGCAGGAAACTTCTGGAGATCTAAATTTGTTTTAGTGTCATGAAAAAGCTACCAGACTGGGATAAGACTAGGAGCACGATAACATCCATGTCAACAGAACTACACCTATTTATAAGTTAAACTTCCAATACTGTTCTTACGATGACCTAGCGCTCTCTTGGTGGCAATGAAGGAAATGGATTCTGGTCTTCACTCACATTCCTTGATATCCTACGAAGAGTCAAGCTCTGTTTCTGATCATGTTACTTGGTCATTTATAATACTTGAAAACTTCATCAGATTGACACCCAAACTGGAGAAGCTTTGGGGATGGAAATAAACCTGTGGGTGTTGAGTCTGTTAGAAAAGACTGATGAAACTGTCTGCTTACAATATTCCTTTAAATACTACATCCTCAGATCCATTCAAGCATATATAGAAGGCAACTATGATGCCAATTCACAGCACTGTCCCTGCTTATTCCTTAGCTTCCTTAGCCGAATGCCCTGCAAGCTTCAGGTTACATCCTACACTCCTTTCATAGGAAGAGTTTCGGTATAAATTTTTTTTAACTGGATCTGAAGTAAGCAGTACCAGAAGTAAAAGTTAAAAACTATAATGCTTAAATCTAAGCTATGCTTTAGTTCTTCTTTCTTTACTTTTTAGCAGCCCTATCTTGCAGGAAGATTTTTTTTTTAAAATTTAAAATGCTAAAAAAAAAAACAACAGTGAAGGATACAATAAAGAAGCCAACTTACACTGAATATTTCACATTGTAGAGTACTCCATCTCCTGTACCTTCTGGTGCTAACCAGTGAAGGACATTCTTCATGTTTGTAGATTCAAAATGAACATTCCTAGGGTTGGGCAAAGAACAATACAACTCTCCTGAGAAAGAAAATAAGAAAGGAACAATATACACTAAGAATGTGCAGATTCATATACTTCAAAGTTAACCAAACAGGAGCTTATTTTTTAAATAAGCCATAAACTGCTACATACTGCCTTTATTCTCGATTAAGTCAAAAAGCAAACACTTACTGGTGTGTCACTCATCTAAATTACGGTTCTTTGAACCATAAATGAGCAAAGCAAGCAAGTCTGAGGACTTGCTTCAGAGCCCAGTTTCCTATGTTCACACTGCTAAATTACTTGCAAAGCAGAGGAATTTGGGGCTGGGACAGAATCCCAAGCTTCAAGCTGCGAGCCAATTCCCAGCAACTTCGAGCAGCCCTGAGAGCAATCCTGAAGCTGCAGCTGCTGGGGAGCAGCTTCTTGTGCAAGTGGCCACGAGATCTTAATAAGGAAGAGAAAAAGTGAATCTGTGGTCTTTCAGGACTTTTCAGAACCTTCTTCCTCCAGAGATGCAATTTGAGTTTTTAAGATAACAAAAAGTGACAAAGAAAGGAGGAAATACAACACATTAACGTGAACAGTGGGAACCTATCTGAATGAACAGACTCTGACCTTAAGCAGACCTTATTATTTTCTTGGTGATATATTTCACTATTACTAAAGTGTTCATTCTCTTGTATGAATTGCATATAACATACCATGTGTAACACACAGCTGCTTTTATAAGTAAAAATCACCACCATTTTCCTGATTAACTGACTCTTTTGTAGTTGTCTTTGAAACAGTCAGAAAAAGCTGTTCTGTAAAGGCCAAATATTTAAAATTGCCATGGTAGAAATCTTGGGTTTTCCAAGCCTCTGTTTGCATATTAATGTTCAAAAGAAACTTCAGTATATGCCTGCATCTCTATCTTCAGCTTTCCATAAACCTGTGTTTCTAATGTTGCTCTCTTTTATTCCCCAGATCTTCGCCGGTATTCAGTGACTTTCAATTTCTTTTTTTTTTTTCTTTTTTTTTCTGGAGAATGAATCTTGTCAAGCACAATCCTTAGGGCAAGCTTACTTATTTACCAAATGGTATGTAGAAAGTCCTGGACACAGAAATGCCCAATGACTGTAATCTCACAAGGGCTCAAATTACAGGTTCAATTAATGAAATCAAAAAGTTTGAGATGCCAGAGGATGTAAAAGCAGCAGAAAGAGGCTTCCAAGAAGGTTTCGGCATTTGCTTTACTCTAACATTTTCTTCCAAGCGGGAGATAACCTAGAAAATAAAGTTTTACTTTCCACCAAAATAAATGTCCTCCACAACCTCCCTGCTCTAGGTGAAACTATTCCAAATGTCAGCATGAAGCTGCCCAATAAACATCCTAAAGTTGGCAACATTTGTTCAGTGGAGAAACAATTAATTAATTAATTAATTAATGTGCAAACTACTAAGAAGAACAAATCAAAATCAGTATTACATAGATTGCAAGAAATCATCCATGCATCAAATTTCATCATTCGTACCAAATCCCTGCAGTACTGTTGATAAGACTACAGGGAAGACATCAATTGTAGGAACAAGAAGGGAAAAAAACAGAAGTGACACAGCCCTGACCAAATCCTGGAGAAGGCAACTGGGAAATCTGTGTAGAGAGCAGGGGCAGTACTGAAGCACAAATAAACTTTCTGTTGCAATTCCCAAACAGGAGGATATAGAAAATGGATTTATTTCTTAGGATGAGGGGAACCAAACGTATAAAAAGCTTCTCATTAAAAAACACTGAGGTAAAACCTGAAAGACCAACAAGGAGAGAATTAAGAATAAAATAAAGTACATACTGAAGGGTCTGAAAACCCTCACAGCCAAGATTAAAAAATCCCAAACTAGCAGCAGAAGAGGAAGAGATATGTCTCTGGTAACTCAGACTCTCTGAGGGAGGCATCTGCTTTGCATTAATTACAAGCAAAAGAGCCAGTGAGCACTGCCTCCCCACACACTGGTTTCTCTCTCTGGTTAGGATGGACCAATGCAGATGCCTCTCCCTCCCTGCCCTGGAGATGGCAGCCATGCTGATCAGCCCCCATCTCTGCTTCCTTGGCAGTGAACGTACCAGAGATAGACCTTGTCAGGGAGCTGGGGCAACGCTGCAAGTCTTTACATGAAGGGACAGTTTATCCTCCATGTCATCCATGAACAAGGAAAAGAAGAAAGGAAGTTCAGTTTCAGATAGAAAGAAGTCCCAGCAGAAATGCCTGATGGGCAGAAGAGAACACACGAGGCTGACTATCTGGAGGGTTCTGGATGTTTCAAAGGGCAGATCAGGGTGCTATCTGCCACACAACACAGCTGGTTCTGCCTAAGGGTAGTGGGACAGGTGGGATCTTAAGGTCACTGCCAGGCCTGTTTTGATAAGCCTCATAAAAAATTAGCCAGTGTTATATCTGAGTTGAGTAGAAGACAGCTGAAGCCTTCCCTGTTGGCTCACATTTCACACTTTTTTTCTTTTAAAGTTTTATAAAATGTGGGGCTAATGCATGGTCAGTGAATGGAACCAGCCAGCTCATCACAAACAAAGCAAATTTCTTCCTCTGGTTTTCTAAATGGTTTTGTGTACCTGCACCTTTTGACATTTGCCCAACCTTGAATAAAAACATTTATATTCCTTAAGCACATTTTAAAGTAGCAGGAGTCATGAACTTATGTGTTACGCTCAAACATTTTTAAACTAGTAACATGTGTTTTTTATTTTTTTTTTTCAATTTTATCTCTGCCTAACGTGGCTTCTGATGTGGTAAATGAAGTTTCAAAACAGAAACACTGACTGCAGTAGATGAGCCAATCTCAGCCAACAGAACCCACAGGCTCTATCTTTACAAGATCTAAAGCACTATCACGCTGCAAACACACTCCAATTTACCCCAAGTTCAATGTGATTTGGAAGCAGAGGGACAGAGACCGTTAACTTTCCATCAGCTGCTATGGAAGAGATTTACTTTCTATATGTGTTTTTTGTAGGTGCATCTGTTTGCCCCGTGGATAAACAATGCATGTTTTTTATTCCTCAATTCCACATCTGTAAAACAGGAATAAAACTGCCATACTCCACTATTTCTATGAGAAGAGCTAAGAAAGAATTCCTTCATGTCTCCATGATGCTCTGTAATATCAGGAGGCATGTGCATAAAATAGAGTAGACATAGCTTGCATCTCCCAAAGTTATCAGCTGCTTATTTCAGTATCTCATCTCTAAACAAAATATAACCCACCATACTCCAATTTTCTTTCCATTAATGGATTAATAGCATAGATGTCACGTGTTTTCAGTTTATAGTGGCCTACATGAGAGCACAAATCAGTCACGCAATGTGCTTTTCTAGGTTCAACCTGTCTCATAGATAGACTGCAATGGCTGTCATCACTTTCCAGTATAATGAAATAATTTCCTTTATTTATTTATTGGATGCGAAAAAAACCTGGAGCTCTTATTACCGTGTTTGGAAATACTGTAAATCAAACCTTGAGCAATGGTGTTCTTCATATCTTTATAATTCTTTGCACACCTGGGCTGGAAAGAATGTAGTAATATAGGCTTGTAAATTTCACCACCGCACTGAAGAGCCAAGTCCTGATCTTAGAATACACTACTGCGAGGCTCTTCAAAACAGATATGACTTAGCCTGAAAACACCTTCACATGTGAGCGAAAAAGCCCACTGACGTCAGTGAGACTATTCACATGAGTAAAAGACTTCACAGCAGGTGCCTCATCCTCTCTCTGTGAAAGTGCCTGCTGGGTTGAGAAATGCGGTCGGTTTTAAGTGCATGCAGCTCAGCACCATGTACGTGCCTTGCTCAAGTTGTTAGTGCTCAAACCTTGGTTTCGGGTACAGCCACGTCTATCTATACACACCTGAATATGTGTGTGCACACCTACACAAATATAAGCACATGTAATTTCCAGTTGTAACTATTATCTGCTCAGTGTGTCTGCTTTCTGTCTGTACAGAGGCAGTGTTGCCTAATTCAGTGATAAATGGCTGTGTTTAATGTCAGTGTCGCAGGACAAATACAGCTGCCTCAGCTCTCTCACTGTGAACACATTTGTTAACATGTCTCTTGATTTAGACAACATAGCAGCTGCAAAGTATAAAAATACATAAATACACAAACATATAGAATTGGTTTTTTTTAAAGTTATAGGATGGGGAGAAGACAAATAACCACTGAAAACTGAGCTGTTGCCACAGAAACGTGTATGGTTTTAGTACTGGTGTTTGACTGTGCTGCTCTCAATACAAATGATCACCTGTTGTATTTTATTGTGTCACGGCCACGAGGATTGCTGTCCCACCAAATTTTCCAACAAAATAAAATGACTTAGAAAACTGGAGCATTTCTCTAGGCAACTATTCGATGTAATTTAAGTCAGCGGGAGATGTAGAAAGAATTAAAACAGAAAGGAGAGTCTTAAGTCTTACTTCAACACAGCTTTTTCCAATACCTACGGCAGTAAAAAGCAGGTACTCCTCCCTTATCAATTTCCTCTCTACAAATGAAGAACTCCTCTTCTGACAGTGACAGAGAAGACTTTGGCTTCAATTGCTGTTGCATTTTCCTATGCAGAAGTAGCCCTTGGGACCACCTCTGATGGTAGCGGCTCCTTTGCCTCAGGCGCTGAGATTAAGGGCATCACAATGGACATTCGCTCCCCATGCCTTGTGATTTGCAGCTGCCACTTCAGAGCCGTTGATCTAATCCAACTTGCACATGTCCACCAGGGAGCAGACATTCAGAGATGCCAAGTTCCTGATTCGCCTTTTCACTGGCATCAGAACCACCAGTGAAATACCAAGTAAAGTAGGAGCAATGGAGCACACAGGATGTTCACTCCTGGCTGTGCTGTAACACACTGCCCTGTCTTTCTGTTCAGCTATGGGTGACTTCCACCAAATTCCTGTGCAATCTTGCTTGCTCCTTCTCTGCTGCTGAATTCATACTCTTTTTTTCTTCCTCCAGCTCATCTGCTTAGATGAATACATTGTTTGAAATGAAAAATATTGCCTCAAACACATTTAAGTATATTATAAAAATGGCTGTACTCAGAACAAGTGTCCGCTGACATAACGTTTAGTAGTATTTGCTAGCAGAGCGCTATGACTGTCTTTTCTGGCATATCTACAGTCTGAAGCAAGCTGGCACTGGCCATGCAGGAATGCGAGGGAGTGCATGAGATAGTAAACAGGGGAACTGAGCCAAAATGGGAGCTCAGAAGTTACAGAGAGGAAGGGAAACCCCACAGAGCCAGGAATACACGTTAGCAAATGTCATTGCCTGATATTAGTCATCTTTACAACAATTAAAAGAGATGAGTTAACTTTTTTGTTTGTTTGTTTAACAAAGTCAGCCTGAAAGATTTCCTCTGTGCTGATTCTTATGAGCTCTTTTCTGGAATTCAACAGATTGTATAGTGAGGAGGAAGAGGCAGGCAGGAGTCACTGAAGCATCCCTACCTTTCTCTTGGTGGATGCTGGAGCACTGGGACTTCTGCACATGAAGTTGGGCTAGTGAAGCTCTTTTACTTCAGTGGTGGTGGGAATTGGAGGAGGACTGTGGAGGTGATTTCCTGTTGTAACCATAACAGTGCTCGAGAGGTAACCACAGAGCAAACTCTTGCTCTCCCAGAAGAGGAATCAAACCCACCAGTAACAACCTCTTCATAACGAGTATGTGGAAAAGGGAGAGAAAGATGGGGACAGAAACAGTGTCATTGGACTAAATGAAATTGAGATGGTGGAGCAGACAGAAAAGCAGAAATAATGGCAGAAGAGGTGGGAAAATGTGAGCGACAAGACCCAGGTATGTGGATTTGTTTGAGAAGAAAATAGGCAGGCTGCCATTGGAATCAGGTGAAACTGAGCAGATCACCTGGAAAAGGAGTGAGGGTAGGACGAAGAGAGGGTGCAATACAAGGTGTGGCCTGCCTTGCCATGTTCCAGAGACCCAAGTGCTTCTTCCCCACCACTTTGAAACTTTGCAAGAGCAAGGGCAGAGCTCATATTACCCAACAATGTCTTACTGCAAAAATATGCCCCTGATGCAGTCAAATAGGAGAAAGTTACTGCATGTTTTCTATTAATTTTAAGTGATCAATATTGGAATGAAACAAGTTGATAGAAAGTCTAAGATTACTCATAACCCCGTTATGACTTTGAGAATCATCACTCATCAGAGGTGTGTGGGTTTTTTTTCTTTTTTTTACAAAAATGAAAAATACTTGAATGATATTTTATTAAGTTTGAAATGCAGAAGTATTTTTCTATCAAAAATAACTGTTAATTTTAAAAGCTCATTTGCTTTTCAACAGAGATGTTTTGAAATTATATATTAAAAATAGCCAAACTGCCTAATGTTTGAGGATTTTCTTTTCTCCTGAGAACATATTTAGCATGAAAAACATCTGCTTATTAGACCAACTACAACCCAGCAGCCAAGAAAATGAGTGCTTAATTCAAATATTTCTGACTTTTTACACTTCTCAAAATGCAAAGGTTAAGTAAATTTCTTTTTGAAAAGGAATGTTGTAAAACTGCTGCTGTGTCAGAGTTATCAGCTGAATTCTGACACAACGTGTTGCAATCCTAACGTACCCTTTCATAAAGTATATATTTACATAAACTATTTAGTGCTTATATCTATAAGATAGTGGCTGTTCATTTAGAATGGTTAAGATTTTATTTATTCCTAAAGGCTGTTGTTCCTCGCTCTCCAACCTACCAACAGCTTGTCTAGACAAGGGGTTTTGTTTTTCTTGAAATCTGAATTAGTGAAATGTTATTTTCTGAATCTACGTTTTCCCTCAGACAAGAGATTGAATGTGATGTCAGTGGAAGAAAAGCCCTCACTTCTGAGGGAAAGCTAGCTCTAAAAGTCTAAGCACTTCCTTCTGCATCAGAGAGCTGCGAGGCAGGGCTAACGCACCCAGCATGCTGGCACTACCTCATCTCTTGTGCCTTTGGGAAGCTAGTGCTCGTAGAGAACTCACAAGAACGGAAGGTTTTCTGGGCTATCTGCCCATTTCTGCTAATCTCTGAGGTACACACTGGTGTGTTTCGAGGCACTGTATGACTGTTCAGAGTGCTCCCACGGTAAGTTCAGATGTGAACAAGACAGTGTCATTTAATAATAGGTATGGGATTATTTTTAGTGTCTTTCCTGGACTTCGCAAGTATTTTCTGTTAAAAACACCAGACATGATTTTCTGCCTTATTTACCCCGTCTACAGGTCCAAAGTGACTTCGCTGTACAGAGGAAGTCATTCAGTGTAATCATCTACTTCTTTTACAACTTAGGAAAGCCTCAGAAATACTATTCAAGGTGGCAACACACAGCTGGATCCAAGGGACAGTGTTTCATTTCTGAAGTTCAGTGGAAGAGCATACACATGTATGTTTTTCCTGCCCATGGACTGTGCTGATGGAGAAGTTCGCTGTTGATCATGTTTGACTGCTACAGGTTGATTCACACCTGAGGAGTCACACAGCTCTACTTCTGTCTGTCCACTACCTTCTCACAATGTGAAAAAGCTGCCAGCAATTATACGTGTCTCAGCCCTCTCTAGGCACAGTTTTAGTGTTTCTGAGCCACATCCTGCACATTACTATTCTGATTCAGTACACCCTAACAGCAGGATATTGATATATCTCCAGAAAGTACAAGGAGAGCCAAAAACCAAACCACATGAAATAATAAGTATTAGCCTTACTGCTCTCTCCAGCCCTTACAAGTCTACTATGAAATAAAGTACCTCCTTTCACCACAGAGCTTCTGAGCATGGAGTGTGATTAAGCTCAAATACATAAACCTGAGTAACCTCTTTCCCTCTCCTAAAGCAGCATTCTTTTCGTAACTCTTTTTTGGACATGTTTGGATTTCCATCACAGAAAAGGAAGTGAAAAATGGGAGGCTGAATAACAGCTCAGCTGCCATCTGAGATGTAACTCAAAATGCTGGGCAATGAAGTAGGGGAAACTATGGTATTTCTCCTGTCCCTTCCTGTACCTTAAAATACTCTTTAAGTTAGCCAGCCAGCCAGGAAAAAAACAGATGAATATAATCGTCTCCAGTGATCTATTTTCCATGAGAAAGAGGCAGAGCTTATTTAATCTATTCATATGTAAACTGCCCTATACCTCCAGTTCCACATCCCACTGCCATGTCTTCCTGCTCCATCTAATTGTACACTTCAAAATATGATGAGCAGTGGATAAAAACTCCGTAAATTACTAGTATGCAAAGAACAAAGCACAAACAGACGTGCTGTTTAAACACAGCTTTCTAATGAAAAGTCATTTTTATCTACAGATAGACTTGATTTCCAAAATTCAGGCTTCTACAAATCTCAACTTCTTAAACAAAGATCTTGTTTGGGTTATAAAGGATGACCTCAGCTACTAATCTTCTAGTTGTAGACAATCAACACCAAATCTTGGAGAGAAATCAATCAGTAAAAATCAATTTGTACAAGCCACAACTACAAAAACAAACAGAAACCACACCACACAAATACAAATGACTTGAGTAATACTAACCACTTGCTTGTATTGGAATTAAAAATACAAAAGTTGTTCTGCTAGAGAACAACTGTGAAGGAAGGATAAGATTATAAGCTAGTGAGGTGAACCTCACTGGTAACACTGGGAACTGCAAAACATATATAAGTTTTGGGCTTTAATCCCAGTTTCCCAACAGCATTCATTCTCTATTTCATTCTCAATTCATTCTCTATGGGATGAATTACCTACTCTCACTATTTACATCCTTAATTAACAGGCAGTAAGAATTTGAAATTGTGGAAATTGTAAGCAGAGCCAACACATAGGGCACAGACTGTGGCATTATCTGAAACAGCCTGACCAGAGACAGCAGGTCACAGGTGAGAAAATAAGGGTGAGTTTTTCAAATGTATGGTCACAATACTCCTTCATATATTGTAGTCTGCTTTCAGCCAACATATCCTTTTAATTATGGCTATGTTGTATTTGTTCTTCTCTCCTTCACGCTGCAGAGAGACAGAAATAACAGAACACAAAAATAAAGGACACCAAAATTCTTTCTGCAGAACACAAAGCTCAGCCTTTCCATACAATTCCACTGTTAGTAATGAAGCTTCACAGCACAAAAACATCACAGAGCACATCCACAGGACAATCAGCCTGTGTATAACACACATGCTGCATGCCTTTAATATGAAATATCAGACACTTCAGTCTGCTATTTAATACCTCAGCTAATACTTACTGGCTGTGTATGCCTAACAGATCAGCCTTTTCTCAGATCCAAAATACACCTTAGATCACCTGTGTCAGTGCATAAACATCTCTGCACTGTTGAACTTTGAGATCGGCTTTTCTTTTCTGCCCTTCCTTCAAAAAATTCAGATTTGGTGCACGCCTTCTCAGCGATTTACTGTGTGTATGTGAGGAGGAAAAGAAGCAGATTATTAGTGTTGGAACATTGCCCGCCTTTTGGATGGCTTTCACAGGATAAAATACAATGCTTGGACAGAAGCAAGATTCCGAATCTCAAGCTCCATAGCTTAACTGCAGGGCCCGTACTGTGATCCAATCCTTTTATTTTGTATTTCCCAGAATAATTCCTTTATAAAAAGAGATGTTTGGTATGTTTCAGCATTCTAGTGACTGTGAAAGAAAACAAATCTGCTTAAAGGGATGACTGCTTCTCAAAATGCAGACATTTTTTTAGTAAAAATAAAATACATGCCATGATAAAGTGGAAGAAGAAAGAAGCAAATTAAACTAGATGTCTCAGTGCAGACCAAATAATTTATGCAACGATTAGAGAACATTAAAAGGGGGAAGCTTTCAATATCCTACCATAAGATAATTGGTACAGCCACCTACCAACTCAATTGCATCTACAGCTATGTCTACATTGGTGAATAAAGCAAGCCAGTACAAGTAGATTTCTTACATGGAAATATCAATGTTGAAAAAAAAGAATCTTTTCTAGACTTATTCCATTATTTTTTCCTATTAAGATTGTACTAGCTGTACTCGCATTAGATGGACTCATGGAACACTCCTTCCAGGTCGGCTTCATCCAAGAGAAACCCAATGCTAAGAACGCTTCCCAACATGGAGAAAAGTAGAGTAAGTGCAAGGAATGAGAGATCTGCTTCCAGAGAATCACGTGCCTCATCTGAATGGAAATAGCAAATGTGCCTGAAGTTCAGCACAATATTTCTGTTTTTACAGTACAGAATAAGTATATATCTACTAAGATAGATATAATGGTTTCTCTAACTACAGAAAAACATGGTTAAGGAAACCTCATCTCGAAGTATATGGAAGGGCTTAAGATAGAGTTTGGTAAATTCTTAGAATGACATTCTATTGCTTTCAAGAATCCCAGCTTTCCTTCCCTAACCTTGTGAGCTGCTGGAAAAAAAACTGCTAAACTGATGTGTAAAGAGAAACTGCTGCATCTCCTGATCCTGTTAATTAAACAATGGATTTTCCTTTGTTTTTAACTTCATTTTCCATTTTCCATGCTTATGCATTAGTACTACAGCACAGATTTTTAGCAGTGAATGAAGCACTAATTTGTAAAAACCCAATGAAGTACAGTAGTAAGTGTGCACTGCAAAGTTACCTGTGAGGTAGGCACACAGCCCCAGACAGCAGTACCTAACTTTCAGAGACCCAGAGAACAGTTAACATACACAAGTAAGGCTAGGACTGTATCCAATAACACACCATAAAAGGCTTCATGCTTGTTAACTTGTTTGGAGATTAACTAAATAGCAGACTCCCAAAGAACATGCACAGTACAGACCCTGCCAGATGCAGGAACCCAGGTCTGTGAAGTGCTGCTGTCAGACTGCTTGCCACAGCACCTGGCCCCTGCGTGATCTGCTCCTAGAACAGCACCAGACCCAGCCTTTGGACAGCTGTGGCATTTGCAGGATTGCCTCTGCTGGTGACTGGCAACCCAGGTTTGTTCTGTTGGAGGAAAAGACCCAAAGGAGATTGATGTACCTATAACCTCACTCGTGAAAGAGAGCGGGAGAGCTGCTACGATGGATCAGCACCTCATGTGTCGGTTTTTTTTCTCCGTTCCTAGCAAAATGCTGACAGAATGTATTAATACAACTTTTACTGTCTTGCACACCAAGAGAAGAGGTCTAGCTAAAACTCAGGACTGTGCAAGATATTTTTTCCCTCCTGCCTTGTAAAGCTACTACCCAAAGCCAACTCATCCCCCTTGACATTTTTCTAAACCTTCTCTGGAAGTTATAGAAATTTTCCAAATACTTGACCCAGTGCTCAGCAGACCCCGACAAGGTAAGCACAGCATGGTCGGCTGCCTGGAAGGAAACTGGCCCTATGGGAGGAACGCATGGCTCTCCCTGAGAGCCAGACAACTGATGCATAACAGAATAGTCTGTCAAATAAGCTAATTGAAACTTTTCTCAGTAATGCTCAAGAGCTGGGACGAAGAATGCCCTTAATACAGCCCAGCTTTCATCAGATCTGGAAGCTTTGCTGTGAATTTAGATGGGAAGATCATCCTCACATGCTTAGTTTGGGCAGTAATATTTGCAGAAGACAGCCAGAGCACAAAGACCACAGCCTTCTTAGAAGCTCTGCTAATCTCCTTAATGCCTTGCATTGTATATACTGGAGGGATATAACAAAGAAATCCCGTGAGATGCTTTTGGCAGCAGCAGTGCCCCACCACAGGCATACATTCAGCAGCTTAGGTGTATGAGCTTATTCTCACCTGGTCACATCTCTGCTTCTGCTGAAGTCCTTGCTAACCAGACTGCTCGCTCACTCGTTCCAGCCACCACTCCTCTCCTGCTCCCCCTGTGCTGCCCTGACCTAGGCTGCTACGGGGGCACTGCTCTGCTTTGTTGGGAGGCACAGCCGGGACTGGCACACAGAGCAGAACTTTGCCAAAACTCAGCACGCCCCATGCTGTAACCTGTCTCTTACTGCTCAGGTGGGACCCTGAGGGCTGGTGGCTGTCAAGTACAAAGGAAGATACTAGAAGTATTAAGGGAATTAACGCAAAGTATAGAGCAAGAAATACTCCAAGAGCATGCTTGATTACTTTCAAATTATAACTGAAAGTAAATTAGCATTCAGAAAACACACAGAGTTGTAAAACCTAATTCCAGCACAGTCATAGAGAAGATGAAGGAGCCTTAAAGAAACACACGACACTCTTCTCCCACCTAAATATTAGAGGACAGAAATATGGAAATTGAACCGATGCAAAGTGATTTAAAAAACAAACAAACAAACAAAAAAACCACAAACAAAACAAAATTCGCCGAACCCATGGCATCGCATCTCACCCAAACTCACCTGTGTGCGCCGCGGGGGGGGGCAGCAGGAGCAGCGGCAGCAACAGCGGCAGCCAAGCCGCCCCCCGCCGCGGCTGGCGGGTGCCCATGGGTCACATCTCCCGGCCAGGGCGCACAAAGCTCCTGCACCGCCACCGCGCAGGAGCTGGGGCAGGAGCCGGGCGGGGCGCCGAGGGCCGGGGCGGGGCTGAAGGGAGCCGTGTTGCTTCTCCGGGAGGTCTGGTTCCGAGGAATCCTCCCAGCTCATTAGCTGACGCCTTTCGCGCCCGGCTGCTTGTCCCAGCTATGCTTTGCTACGCCACTGTGTCTGAGTCTTTCACTCTAGCCTTCTATCTCCCTGCCACTTCCTCTCAGGCTTTTCTGCTTAAAAGAAAGATCTTGCAAGCAAGGTCTGCGAGACTTGTAAGCCGATGTAGAGCCAGCACCTTTGTGTCGCTGCAGTGCCTGGCTGCTGCGTACCAAGATTTGGGGTAGGGGCAAGCATGGGTAGTGTTGCATAGAAGGAGAGACAGCGTCTAGAAGTGGATGTCTCACTTGTGTGGGACTGAACTTTAGTTTGTGCAAGTCAGACAGTAAACAGATTCATGAGTTTTGAACATTTCAGGGCTCCAGCATGCAGCAGTATCTGGGGTGCAGGTGTCTGGGCAGTGATCACAGCAGAAGCTGTGAATAGTTGGTAGAAGAATATTAGAAACAAAGAAGTGCATGTGGTAAACTTGTGATTGTTACTGCAGTTGAGCTTCTATGGACTCACGCTGTTCCCACGTGGTGTGCAGTGGTTCCCAGGTCCAATCAGCTGTCTCTGCAGTTCTACATCTCGTCCCAGCATCTCTTGTGGGTTTGCCATCTGCTTCAGAAATGGGCATTGGTGCCCTTGTGCAGATAGGCCCGCTATGTGAGCATGACGTTAGAAAGAGAAGTCTTAGTGCTGGTTCCATAGACTAAAGCCTTGGTCACACAGCTGGTCATCCTGCTTGCTCTCAGACTGAAGCACACGTGCAGTAGTGATAAGACCTATAGCAAGTTCAGATAGTTGAAGCTCAATGTCTCCTGTCAATGAATTTTTGGCCAGATTTTTTTTTTTTTTTTTTGAAAGAAAGATATACTTTGATAAAAGATCACACTCTGTTTTCTAACTGGAAATTTTGCCACATTCCACTGAAATTCCTTGAATTTTTACAGATAGAAGTTGTTGGCATTTAAAACAGAAGTGGGAAGAAGAGGTCTTATTCCTCTGCCCTGATTCCTGGAAATGTCCCAGATGACTTGGCTTAAGCCTGAGGATGGCTAAAGTCTGTCAATATGATACAGAGTGAAACTAGCCCTTTAGATTCACCGTCTCCACTTCTCTTTTACTTTACACAAATACATGTTCTTTATCTTTCCTTCCAGATAGAGCTTGGCACTGCCCATAGCCCTGCCATCACCTCAGGCTGCCTCTAGCACACATGGCTGTGGTGCATTGCTTTCAGTTGCATGAAAATGGAAGAGTTAGATAATAAGTTGATGTAACAGCTACAAGTTGAGCAACACCAGAGGCACAAGGGAGGAGGTGTAAGGATAAAAGTGGTACAGAAATGCTTAAAAGGGAGACAGAGTCCAAAGAGAGCACAGCTTGGTATGGAGAAAGGTGGTGGTAAAGCAAGGATATGAGGTGCAGTTGCACAAAGTAACAAGGAAGTTGAGAGCAATACTTGTGGTTTTTTTCCATGCTATTAGTGCATTATGAGTTGTCAGTTGGAAGAGGTGCTGATAGAAAAGCAGGCCAAAGAGACAGGAAGTGCTTGCAGCTGTGAAAATCAGGCTGTTGCCCTCAGCCTGCCCTGCTGAGGGGCAGAGGCCTGCAGCTGGCAGCCAGTAGGCATCAGCCCAGTCTCCAGTACACGCAGGTCATCCCTGCTGTATGGTCTTGTGAAACACAGCTGTTAGGTCAGGCTGTGGGCCTATGAGGGAATTCTCTGATAGCTGAACCAGTCCAATAGAGGGTTTTGAAATATGAAGGCAGGGACTTTGGGTTGCATGA